TTTTTCCCCTACTATTTTCCCATCCTTGAACAGCTTCTGCTAACCTATCTAGTATAGCTAAGGATGATCATACAACCTGCTACTAAGGTTACATAGCACGTCCCATTGTACAGCCCTGTTTTCAGTTATTCATAGATTACATTTTCCATACTGGGTGTCTGCCTCAGGCTTTTTTTTTTAATCAAGATGGCTCAGACACCTTTGAGGGGGAGCCTAAGGAAAAATACCTTTTAAATTTTGGTGTTTTTTTATTTGAGAAGCTCTGAAATTCAGTGCTTGCAACAAGGACTTTAAATATGGGTAGGGTGGAGCCTTTGAGCTACAGATGTGTCTTTTGTCGTTACCATTAACATCTCCATAAAAACAGCTATGGCATAAGCTTTTTAAAAATTACAGGCCACATATGCTCAGTACAGACTTCGCAGAATTTAGCTGCTAAAGCATCTGAGGATTCTGTCTGAGCAGATGATATATGCCCAGCACTTCTGCTCCAAGTCTGAGCAGGAGTTTCTTCCTAACTGCAGTGCTGCACTTCTGTGACCCAAACAATCCTGCTATCCTTTTTGACAGGATTAGAGGCTTGGTTGATAAAAAAACATAACTGGGTTAATATAGTAACTTGAACCTCTCCAGGTCATTTGCTGCTGTAACACATGACATTCTTTATGTTAACAGCTTGCATTATATAAAATTAACAGAGCCAGATTTCAGAGATGGGTCCCAGCTGGCTGATGTGAATTATAATGGGTGTCCTTGAAATGCAGGGGCATGGGGCCAAGGTGGTTTGGCCAGGAGGTGGAGTGGCACAGAGTACCTTGCAGGCAGGCTGGCAGGCACTGCTGCCTACCCAGCAAAGCAGCCCCACCCCTGCTGACTTGTGAGAGCACAGAGGAGGGGTGGGGGGCAGTATTCTGGATTTCCCACATGATGTCCCAGATTTCCATATGATCAGCCTACCTCTAAGTCTTACAATGAGTTGAGTATGGAAGTCAACTTGTTCAGTTTATCAGAGAAGTTAGAGATGAACAGCTTCATCAGGTTGCCTGTGCAATTTTAATGCAGCTCCCTTATATATATACATTATGTTATAGTTTTTCATTTACATGAGGCTGCATATTATCTTTTCAGCAGAAACCCTGCTCACTCCGAGTTAAGTGTACACTGGGAATAGAGCAGGGCTGTACAGAGAAAGAGACCTGCTATCTGTAGGATCCTAACTTCATTTGTTGTAGAAGTTGGTAGTGGATTTCAGGAAGAAGAAAGAGGGATTCCTAATGAAAGCAGTTAAGTGCTGCTATGGAAAACTGGATCTATCCCTGTCAAAGAGTTTCCATTTGATGCTAGGTAAGGCACTTAAACTCCAAGTCTGAGCAAACTTTTCACAAGATGTTTGGTGACCTGTATTTGTAACTTTTGTCTACTTGTGTTTGTGACTTGTCACAAGGGGGTGACTACTTATTTTGGGGACACCTAACTAGATACCCAGAGGTTTGATTTGCAGAACTGCAGAACACTCTGTAGCATGTCGGGGTCCCAGGAGGTCCCTGTGATGCCCCCTGCAGGCTCTGCGACCATGCCCCGCTCTGTCCCTTGAGCACCTTCCCATCTCACCTGCAAGCCCTTGATGGAAGAATGATAAACAGGGAGGCTGCCCACAGACCTATGCATGGCCCCAGTTCCACTGAACCCCCAGTGGGGCTCTCAGCACCCTACTAGTCCTCACTGGGCATCTACATTCAACTGTGCCCAGCAGGACACCCAAAGCCATAAGGCTTTACATGGCTCCAAAACCACCTGTACACCACAACCCAAGCCTTGCAGGTGGTACTGTAACATTGTTCCCTCTGTTGGGGCTTCGGCTTCCTCAGCCTCCACCTCTTTACTCTAGTTAAGCCTTCTAGCCTGGGCCCACTGTATTGGACCTGGCTTTGAGGCACTAGCCCTTGCTTGTCCTTTCTGGTCGCTGGGCCCCTGGATGTCTGTGCTCCTTTGGTGCCAGGCCCCCATCTCACTGTCACCTTGCACTCTCTGCCCACTTTGGGCACAGTAACTGCTTAAGCCTGCCCCATCCCAAACCTCCAGTATAAACACAAGCCCCTGAGCTATGACTTAAGTCACAGCAGTGAAGGTAGCCCTCTGCCCCTTTAAGAGGGCAAACCTTTCTTCATCCTTGAGCCAGAATACCTCCCAACCTAGCTCCTTGTGAGCAACCCAAGTCTGAGCGTTCCTGCAAGCAGCAAAGCAATCAGACCAGTGTCCCTGGGCAGCTCTCCTGGACACGAGCTCCTTCCCCTGCAGCTGCCAGAAAAAGGCACCTCATGCCAGCCCCAGCCTTGGTTTTATAAGCTCCCAGAGCCCTGCCTACCTCCACTCAGCTGACTGCCGGCAGGTGCCTGCTAATTGCTCCATTAGCCTATTGCACTGGCAACATGCAGCTGCTGCACTCTGCCTAGCCTGCAGGGCATCCTGGCTAGGCTGCTTGTTCTCTTAAAGGAACAAAGAGCCCCCATGCTCTCTGTTACACTCTCCCAGCTTCACTTCAATTTAATTGGAACTTGACTGGTATATAATGCTTAGCACGCTAAAGTGTCTTTCTCCATGTGGCTCAAATGGCAACCCAATATTACTGGAAGCTTTTGACCTGCATTTCTCTATGCTTCTGTTTTTCACATATAAAATGGAGAAATTCCTCAGTTCATAGGACTTAATGTGAATATAAATCCATTAATGTTTCTGATCCTCCCAAATGCAATAGCATGAGTGAAAATCATGAGGAAATTATTAATTCTGTCATCACAGCAAGATTTGGATAACATTCAGCAAATAATGCATATGATTTGAACAATGAAGACATCATCAAAATATTACATAGCTGCTCATTAAATATAGTGCATGATTATATTACTAATGGCAATATTTTAATGCATATAAATAAAGGGGCTGAGTTAAGGTGATACAGGCAGCCTTAAGTCTGGAATTTATGAATGTTCCAATTCACATCCATGCAGGCTAATTTAGGGTTTTGGTTTAGTTTTTGACTGTTATATAGATGTAGATTATATATATGTATGTGATGTAATAGAAATGTAATAATTAAATGGATTAATTTGTATATAGATAGGTTCATTGCATGCAAACACTTCACACATCAACATCATGAAATGTGGTTTCAGTTCTTTCCTGGCTGCTTTAATGATGGTTGATGGATCCATTGTGGAACTCAGCCAGTGAGAAAGCTGTTCATCAGACCAAACCTTTTCCTCTTGCCACAGTCCCTAAGCCAAGTATTGATTTCTCTTATCCTTCTCCTCCATTGGCTTTAGACAGTGAGGGAGTCTATCATTTCTACAGAGAGGGAAGTCTTTCCTCCCTCCTACTGTGGCATTTGTGACAACCATGAAAGGATTAATTTGTACAAAGCTATTGCTTCTACAATTAGCAAGCAACAGTGTCACGCATCTCAACTATGATTGACCAATGAGTTTGGCTGATGTAGATTGTTGGTGTGTGGGGTTTCTATGTGATCAGTCAAATTTGGAGCTCACTCTCTCTAGTTGTTCACTTACACAGTTTCAAGTCAGCTTGGCATACTTCATAATTAATTTTTCTAAGTTGGCTCAGGACACTCTACTACCGTAATGGGTTTCCAGTTACCATCTGGGAGTTGGAGTGCACAAAAATACAAATAGTTCTTATCAGACAGGTTGTGGCCCACTCAGGGACTGTCCTTTTCTCCTGCTACAATTTCACTTTTCTCAAAATGTGATATTGTGCTTGTCATCATACTGTCTAAATGTCCTGGAAATACAAGAATTCCTGGCTATAGAACAGGCTGGTGGAAATAATTTTTAAGCCACAAATGATAAGAATATCATCCATAGAAGAATTCTTCTTTCATCTCAAGCCCTGAACGTACAGTTGGATGGCTTTGGGTTATCAACAGAAATACTAACATCATTCTTGAAGGGCACAGAGTAAGCATATCCCTCAAGAAAGTCATGGATATTTTTATGGATATGTTACAAATCTTTCACTCAGCAATGCAAATATTTTGTCTATGCAATTATTCTGTGCCCAGTATCTGCCTCAGCATCTTTAAATCATGTGTCTAAGGAGTCTTTAAAATTATATGGGACATAAAACATTAACAATTTATTCTTTAAAATATTGTAAATGTTAAATGGCAATTTGATTCAGGAAATTACTCACATAACTAATTTTAAAAAGTAAGCCACTAATTTAAAACCATGTATTCCCCTCATCTTACATTTATTCTGTTATTATTTCTTTGAATATTTATAGGCACACACATAGATAGTGTATCAGTGGGCTTATAGAAAGCATATATTGAGAACACAGTCCTCACTTTATTGATAGAAGCTAGTTCACAGGCATGCATGTGCATATGCCTCTCGGGGTATAGACTGAGGGTAGTAATACCACAGAGGTTCAGTTTTGCAAATCCCACCCCAAAGAATTTCCACTGCAGCCAGAAAGATTTATCTAACTTTATATACCCATTGCACCAAGAAGTTGCTGTGATTCCCCCCTTCTTAAAATTAATATATTATATGAGCAGCTTTGTTGTTAGGATTATGTCTAGCTCCAAGTCCTACTGACAGTTTTAAGTCATTCTTATTTTTTGGGGTACAACCTTGAAAAATATATAAAGGAAAAAAAAGGTTGGAGGGACAGATTGGCTAAGCTACCTCCCTTTCTCATTTGTAGTACTCTTTAGCCTTCTGGGTTTCAGTGTACAAAGCTGAGCCGGAAAGTGCAGTAAACACAGGAAGGGAGCACAGGAAAAGGAAATAATTGACTTTTTTAGGGGAGACATTACATCATTTGCTTTTCAACATATCCCCTGTTTCAGAGTCAGCATAATATAGTACAGTCCAAGATAAGGAACACATTTTATTTAGAGAACAAATATAGTTCTAGTTTCATTGTAAGGTCAATTTGCCACATTAAAATTGCAGTTCTTTCAGCTAATACTAAGTGGTTTTAATATGTTATGTGCAAATGAGAAAATGTCTTCAACCAGATCTCTTCTGAATCAGCTACATCTGACCCAGTAACTCAATGGGTTCACAGCTTGATTTTGCATTTTGGAGTTTTCCTTCACTAGTAAAACATGGGGACACGGCCTCTGCTGGAGGAAATCTGCTACTTCATTGCAGGTCTGGCCCCTGTAAAAGGAAAGTTGAGATCCTGAAGCAGGAGATGGATACCAAGGAAAATGCCAAGTCACTGACCAGAAATGCAGCTGATCCAGTCTAATCCATGCTGGCTGGACAGTGCTTCTTGGCTGGTAACCCCCAATCCTTTTTTTCAAGAGAGGGAGTCAAAGGCTCCTCCATTCTTTCAGGAAAAGGCTCCTCAGTGGAACAGGCAATCCTTCAGTTGCTATGGATGTTTTCTAGCTGTGGTTGCTGTTGTGGGGGGAGTTGCTACTGAAAAGAGGAGGACGCAGCAGACACTTTTTAGCAGCTCTTTTGTCACTGGGTAGGTGGCAGTGGATGCTCAGTGATCTGATGTCTTTTATTTGAATGCTAATTGTCAGCCTTGATCATTTTGGTCCCTGACCAGATGACATAAAAGTTGGCCATAGAGGAAAAGTTGTTAAAACCGGGTATAAACTGGCAGTGACATCAAATTTACCCCTAAACCTGTAGGGTGAGATTTTCAAAGGGAGTTTAGCACTCACTGTTAGTAGTTTTAAAGCACCAACCTCTTTTATCCTGAAAATAGTTTCATTCTAGGCATGTATCCTATCCGCAGTTTGTTGTATGTGTTCTCTGCATTTATTGCATTGCATGCTATAAAGGACAGCTTTTGTTTATCAATAGGCCGCTCCACCTGAAAGTGATGGTGTCTGTAACATCCAACCTGTGCCTGGCTGCCCTGATGAATGATTGTGAGAATGATGCAAAATGGTTATGCTGCAACCACTCATCGTATAGAGCTGAAAACATGGATCAGACATGCACTGTGATGCTGTGGTCACCCGTCTGGTGATGCCTCCATGATTGATGACCCACCAACGTGCTCTTCTGTGGTAGCTTCTCCTTCCTGAGCCTCGTGTTTAGTTTGCATCTCCATTGTGACCCTGCTTGGGGTTTGCCATCTGTGACTGAGAGTGTGTCACCTCACATAGACCTGTGCTCTCTGTGCCTAATTCTAGCATTGATAATATAGTGTACAACATTACATACGTAGATCAAAGTTTTCCTCTGACAGCCTTAAATATTTTTGTCTTTTGCACCTATATGCTGTTGAGGGGACCGTAGACTGTATGTTGGATTGATCTAGACAAATTTTCCTTTTCAAAAACCACTATCTCCTTAGCTGGGTTCAAATAATATAGTGTACTGCCTGTACTACTGAACACTGTGCTAAGGGGCAGCAAAAGTGTTCAGTTCTAGTGTAACTCAGTCTTTTTATCAATTTCTAGCTTCATCTGTAACCTTTCTTTCTTGTGCACTGCACAATATGTAGAAGGATGAAGGCCTGCTATTTTCTACTTCAGGATTGCATATTTCTCTGCAAATTTATATTATTCACTGGGCAGAAAATCATCAAGACAATTCTTCTTGTTTACATGTCAGTTAATTTTGTCATATTTTTAAAAGAATCCTATGAATACAAATGATACTCCGTTGCAATTCAAATAAACTTTGTGTTGATATTTTAATCCATAGTTGCAGGGAGGGGGAAGAGAGAATCCATCCTGAAAATTGTATTATCTTCCCTGTGAGCGAACAATTATTTTATTAACATATTTTCAACTATTCTCCACAAAAGAATTTTTGGTTAGTGACAAAACATGAAGTTAAGACTACAAAATTAAAAAAAAAATCTACAGTCTAGAAGAAAGATGCATTTGCCTTGAGTGTATATATGTTTTCATTCACACCAAACTAAACGCTAATATTATTTGAGTTGTACACAACTAGAGGGTGTTCTGGTAAAGAAACTGTGATATAAATGGTAGTAATTATAAAATGTTAACAGCAATGAGTTGGAAGATTTAACGCGTTTTCTTCTTTTAATGTACAGCCCATTCCCAGAATTTCACTGGACCATGTGGACAGACCAACTGTCACAGCTGTCTATCAAGACTAAATTAGATGAAGGCAGACAATACAGGCTTTGTGGTTAAACTGAAGCAGCAGCCTCAAAAGTTTCCATTTCTCATCCAAGGGCACTGTGGGAGCATTGTCTTCCCCCTCTCTGAAAAGAGAATGAAACAATTATGTTACTGAAATTCCTCCACAGTGGGTCTGAAAGACTGTTTATCTCTAGCCAGGGAGACGGGGGAAACTAAAAGCAGGAGTTTCATGACAGCAGGTGGGGGGAGTTTCAGGGTATATCCTTCAAGTGAAATGATGGGCCTGATTCTTCTCTCTCGTCAATGTAAATCAGAAGGAAACTCACAGAGGTCGCTGAAGTAAAACTGTTGTGAGGGAGAAAAATATAGCAACAAATATTTCTGGACAAGATTTCCATTGAAAATTAAGCATCTGTTGATGTGAATGTTCTGGCAGTGCTATCTCTGTTCTCACAAGAAGATGAAACATTTCATTACAATAACATCTCAAAAGGTCCATTCTAGACCAAATAGTAAACTGCTGCTAACATGAAGACTACGAATGGTAAATTAGATAAGGCAAACTATGCAATGGATTATGCACCCCACATGTCATTGCAGTCTGCAGGTGAGAACCGTCTAGGACAGTGGTGTTCAAGTCTGTCGCAGGGCACTAAGGTGCCTGCTCCTTTAAGGGCAGAAACTGCCTAGAGAGAGAGCCCTAGCAGTCAGGCAGAAACCCCACAGGTGCAGGTTACTGTGGCAGCAGGGTCATGAGGGAATTAGCCTGCACCTGCACCTGGTCAACTGCCTGGAAGAAGGCAGGGCCCTGGGCGCACACAAATCCCACGGCTGGGACTAGAAAGTTAGTTCTCTGGCAACAGCTAAGAGGGAAGGTGCATTCATAGAGGAAGCTAACTGGAGATGCTTGATTGCCTGTTCTGCTTCTGGTAGGATTAAGGGGCTATAGGAGCTCATAGATACTGGTGGAAGGGGGAGGCCCAGTAAAGTGAGAGAGAAGTTTGTTTTCTAAAAGAGGTTAGAGTGTGGACCCTATGTTATGGTTGTGTTATAGCTCAGGGACTTGTGCTTTCTGTTGTTATTTAAATTGGTGGACCGGGATGAGGCTATTGGAGAGGAGGAGGACTCACTGGGGCACACAACAGTGTGGAGACCCCAGCACCAGAAAGGGTGCAGTGACAGGGAGTGAGCTGACCCCAACACAAGAAGACAACCTCTACATAACATCTGTGAGTCACGGGGGCATGATAAAGGGGTGGTTTTAGAGTCATGCATATCCCCAAGCCTTATGGCCTAAACCATAAGGCACCTCCTGAGTGTGGGAAACAATAAAGGGGTCTAGCAACCCATAGGGTTTAGAGGAGTGAATCAGGACTGTGACCAGGCAGCAACTCAAAGGCAGCCTCCCAATTCATCACTTATATCAGGAAGACATAACAGGAGAGATTAGTAGGCACCAACAGGGCAGAGCCGGCATGGTCACAATGCCCAAGGAACATCATGGTCATCCCAGCGGTGGCCATATCATGATAAAGTTATTCAGCCCTGCAGGCTAAATCCAGTGTGCAAGGCCTTTCTGTGAGCCAGGTGAGTGGTGTGCGGCTGGTCCACAGGCTGAATCTGTGGGCCCATGTTATCCAGTCCAGGGGGCTCCCCCTGGGTTCAGAAATGTGGTGACAAGAGAAGCTGCAGAAAGCTGCTGCTGCTGCTCCCCCACCACCGAAAATCTGGATCCATGGAGAGCACTGCAAACCAGCTGACACAACTCTGCAAGCCTGTGGACTGTATCTTGGTCACCCCTGTTCTAGGAGATGTTTAGCAGGTAGTGCTTGGTGTCCATTTTTCTATTAATGAAGACAGAAAGTAGGAGCACTAATCATAGCTTGGGACCTCATTGTGCTAGGTGCTCTACACATACCCATAGCATTCCAATCAAATGATGTATAAAGCTCAGCAGACCAGCTATCCAAGTTTCTCCTGCACCCTTTCCCAGGCCAGAATGAGGTGAATGTGATAATGGATCATTTCATCCTAACTTATTAACACAAGGGTTTTCAACCTTTTTGGGTCAGTGTACCCCCGGTGGCCGGTTGAAAAGGAAGGAGTCCCCGCAGCAGCCAGTCTGGGGGGCAGTCCCCCAGTGACTGATCGGTGACCTGAGGCGGGGGGGGTCAGTGGAAGTACCAACCAACAGCAGTGGAGGAAGTACCCCCAGGGGTATGCATACCCCCAGTTGAAAACCCCTGTACTAACATCTTCATTCTTTTGAGGTTAATTTAATGTCAAATATATTATATCTAAATATGCAATGCAGAATAGTGAGGGCTGAGGTGCAAGTGTTCATCTAAAACAGTATATGATATTAAGCTGTAGCCCCTTTGCTTGGGTGTGTTCCTGCTTTTTCATACAGTAGCCCAGGGACAGTCTGGTTAGAAAGCAGTTGCCCTGTTAGTATAGCTGCATGAAGCTGAGGATCTAACATGGAGATAAAAGCAAATCTACTACAGGTGTTCTCATACTTGCATGTTATCCCTAGTATCATTGGTTCTCAAGGAACACTTAGAGCTGGAGGTAGGTTTTATTTGAAGAAAGTGAAGTCAACTTCCTGATGCCAAATGAAAAGTTTGCTGAGGGACACTAGTTTAATTTAAACCAGGAAGGAGTCTGGGACAGACGTTGCATAAACCGGTTTGACCCAAATCAGTTATGTCTGATACTACATTCAACCAGGTTTATCTCAAACCAGTTTCAGCCATTTTGAAACTGGTTTATGTGCACTGAACTTGTGTTCTGTTACAGGTTTGAACCAGTTTCTGATAACTTAAACCAGTTTAAGTGTAATGTCTCTCCCGAGCCCTAGAGCTGGAGGCAGGTTTATTTGAAGAACGTGAAGTCAACTTCCTGATGCCAAATGCCATTTTCTTGCAAGTTCCAACACTGTTAACTCTTCAGGAAGTGGCTGTCTCTTACCGATTTTGTATAATGCCCAGAACAATAAATTCCTAATGGGCTACTTTGCACCACCTATAACATAACTACATATAATAAAAAAACACATCATTAGTATTGTTGGCACAGTTATCTGCGGGTGCTTAGATATTTGAGGCATACTCCAAATCCATAGAAGACAAGAAGCTCCTATTAACTTTCAAGTAAGTCATTGGATCAGTTTGCAAGTACTGATCCAGAGTGCTCAAAAGCAACCAGAAATTTTGCTTTTTAAGGCTTAAGTGTCAGCAAGCATATGTTATGACACACTGACACTTTCTCAATCTCAATTAGCACTCAACTAATTAACAAAACTGTTCAATCCACTGAAGTGAGTAGTATCTCTCTTCTTTCTTGACTAATCCCTAGTGTGATGTAAGGGTGATTGAGTATCTAATTACTCCTTAATTGAATGAACACATTATACATTTTTCCCTGAGTTCAAGCTTAATGCTTTTGGTCCAGAAATCAAAGTCAGTGAAATTAAGTTGAATTGGGATTTAGGCAACTATTGTATTAAAAGAAATGCTTACGGAAAGGAGTCTAATTATGAACAAATGTGAGGATTTTGCATTGTATTTCTTCCAGAAGTACTGAATGATGAGAGACTCATTTGGAAGATTTACAGTGTTATTATTCATGTTTACCCTTTAGTCTCAGTTCACCATCATAATTAAATTCCCTTTGAACTAAAGAAGAAGGCAGGGTAGATTTGTGCCTTTATAAACTAACCAAAGTATGTATTTTCATATATTGGCTGCTGAACTAAAAGTAGTAATATTTATCCCATAGAGTACTGTATGATAGCACAGAAGGTAGACAAAAACTGTGTATCCGATGAAACATCTGCTTCACATACCTCTAGGAAAGGTGTGTGTAATAATATTTAGAAGAATTCCCAGATGCAACGTTGGTTTGCAGTTTATGCCTCTAAGCCTGCAAGCTGTTTTGTGTGGAATCCTGCACCCAAAAACTAGCCCTGTTGGCTTTGAGGTACAAGGCAGGTGAAGCATTCTTTCCTAAAGAGCAGCTTACTGAATCATTCTACTCAGGGGAGTTTGGTGGCCTATTATCATCATACCACACTTTAAAACAATTGTAAAAGAAATAAATATTGACATATTTCATTAGCAGTATAGAATTACTGATTTTTTCATCACAAAATTGACAACTGTTCTGTTTTCAAGGCAATTCTGCTAATATATTATTGCAAAGGCCACTTGCCTAAAAGCATTTATTGCTTCAGAGAAAATCCTCTTGATCAAAACTTTTTTTTAAATCATAGTGATCTGCCCCTGAGAGTAGTTTTTGTTAAGTGTAGGACTATGACTTCATAGAGAAATAGCAGTAGCACACCCTGTGTTGCTGCTACTTGTCCCCAGAGAACACGCGTGCTACACACCCCCTGGTGCACAGCAGGTTACCCTAGGTGAGATAAGGAAGGCGGGGGGCATCAACTGTGCTAGCCCCAGCAGCCTTACCTGGGGTCCTGGGGGCCTTGGGGAGCTGCAGCCATGGCAGTCCTGCAGCTGGGAGCCTGGCTGGCAGCTAGCTCCAGCTGGCCAGGCTCCAGTTCTGGATGGTGCACACTGCTGCCATGTACACCAACCCGGCTTTTTTTTTGGTATGGGATTTTTTGACCCTGGGATCACCTGGTGTCAAAAAAAAACAAACAAAAAAACCTCAACCCCTGCACTGCATATGCAGCATATGGCATCACAGACGGATCTGCAGCACCACATAGCACACATTTGTGCTCATTTGGACACAGCCTCTGAGTCCATGTTTGGGGCATGGATTCAGATGTGAAGAGAAGAGTTCTCTGATGCAAAATTCACTTTTCTGCAACATCTTAAGATTTTTTTTCCCATGATTTTCTGATTTATTTATTTAAGGCCAGATTGTGATATTACCTATGTTGAATTCTATCTTATTATTGATTATTACCATTGGAATCAACTGTACGCAGCAAAACTACTTATCTGTTCAGAGTTAAGTGCTATGCACCATGATGAGACCCCCATTGTATGCATTTTGCCAGCGGGTCATTGATAATACCCAGAGATGAGTAAGTTTAATTCCAAGTTGTGGATTATATAAAAATATAGAAAAAATAATTACTTATTTAATAAGC